TGGGAGGGCCCTTAGAACACAGGATGTCAGAGCTGGGAGGGCCCTTAAAACATTATGTCAGGTATCTTAGAGCACAGAATTAGAAGGGACTTTAGAACAGTTAGAACTGGAAGTGGCCTTAGGACACTGGATATGAGAAGAGGGAGGGACCTTAGAACATTGAATGTCACAGCCAGAAGGGCTCCTTAGAGATCATCTAGTTTAATCCTGTTATTTTGTAGGTGAGCCGACTAAGACCCAGAGAGGTCAGTTGTGTTCGCCAAATGTCCACCACTAGTGAATAACCAAGTTGAGATTCAAACTCTGGTCCAAGTCCAGTGTTATCTTCAGTATATTATTCTGCTTTTTGCTCTGGGGCTGGGCTTCAGGAATGGAATGCTAGGTCTTAGGCAGATGGGAAATACACCAGAAACTAAAGAAAAGTTAAGGCCCAAGGACAAGAAATGTGGCAGAGTTAGAACTGGGAGCATTACGTTAATATTTTAGAGTTTCCAGGATTATTAGAGGTGGAGGGAGACACAGGATCACAGATGTGGAGCTAAAAGGGAACTTTAGTCCAGCCCTCTCCTTTTACCGATAAGGAAAACGAGGCCTACAGAGGTAGAGTGTCTTGTTCAAGGTCACATAGCTAGTGGATGATGGGGCCATGTGAGTCCAGATCTCCTTTTTCACAATACAGTGTTCTTCTCATTACTATGTCACATTTGTATTGAAAAGGTTAAAGATTAGAAGCTAGGAGCCAGACCTTAGGGGATAGGCACAGACACCAAACCCTGACCATTTCCTTCCTCAGTCCCTTGAGCCACTGAATTTTGTAACCTGAGACTTCTATTGCCTGTGTTACCAATGACCCCCAAAGCTAAGGGTCAAGTCCTGGAGCACCGGTTTTGTCCTCATTGGCCCTTATGCAAGGAGATTGCCAAGGCCAGGCCGCGGATCCTGATCCCGCATGAACAAGGACTTGGGCCTTTTCACCAAAATGCCAACACCGTGGGCCCTAAAGAACAGCTCTCCTCTGCACATTTCTGGGCATATGTTTGCATGTTACATCTAATTCCCAGTGTGTCAATACAATGGGAGGCGCAATGCAGTTGTTTCTGAGGGCCTGGCACACATAGAATACAGAACAGGTGATTAGATGCATTAATGTCCTCCCACCCTTGATGAGGAGAGACAGACATATATGCAGCCAGCAATACAGGAGAGCTGCCTAGAGGTACTGGCTGGGCAGAAGGGAAGGCTTATAGAAGCGCCAGTCAGGAATGTTGTCTGAGGGGCTTCACGCACTAGGCGGGGTAGGGGGGTGGTGTTTACAAGACTGCTGAGGTCCCTTCCCTCTACCCATAGGAGCCTAGATTTAGGGCTGTCAGTGACCTTAGGGATATCTAGTCTAGCCACTCACCTCCATTTAACAAATCAAAAACTGAGGCCCAGAGAAATTAAGTGACCTGCCCAAAGTCACTGAGAGGCAGCTGATGGCGCAGTCAATAGAGTACTGGTCCTGGAGTCAGGAAGACCTGAATTCAAATCCAGCTTCAGACACTTACTAGCTGGGTGACACTACACAAGTCACTTAACCCTGTTTGCCTCAGTCTCCTTACCTGAAAAACAGGGATATTAGTAGTATCTACCTCCCAAGGTTGTTGTGAGGCTGAAGTGAAATAATGTTTGTAAAAAACACTTAGCCTGGCACATCTATATAAATGCTTATTCTCTTCTGTTCTGTTGTCAAAATCACAGAGGTAGTGAATCAAAGAATCAAGATCCAAATCCAAATCCTCCAATTCCATATTCAGTGCTCTTTCTACTGCTCTAGGTCTTAACATTCTATGTTCTAAGATCCCTCTCAGCTCTGACATTCTGAGTTCTAAGGCCCCTCCCAGCTCTGACATTC